TTGCTCTTTCCCGTTGTTACTGGGGTTATCATTGTCATTTAGGCTGAACTGAGTTTTCATCCATTTAGTTTTATCATGTGCGTTTCATCCCCAGCGGCAAGAATTCCATGGATATCATTTTGTACATGGCTCATATAGTTGATATGGTTTTACTTCATACAACGCTCATCATAGAAGAAATCGTGATCGATATCACATTTTTCCCTTGTCCGAGATAATATCAAGATCATTCCGTGTCTCTTATTCAATTCGACACTGACACATCTTGTGAATTTGACCAACTTTTTGGTCATGAAACACGCCAGCATCTCATTTGTATTCCCACTAAATTTTGTTCTCAAGTGGTCTGGTGACATCATATAAAAGCTTTGGACACTGTGCAAAGAGTTTCCCTGAACATCAATCCAAGCAGAAACCACATGAGATGATGAATGTGTTGGCAAATGTTTTACAAACCAGTAATTATGGTGTTGAACCAATTTTGTGATCATATGGTTTCCAATTATTGATCCAAGATGAAGTTTGTCTTTTTCAACCCCAAGGTTTGAAATGAGATATGATGAAGACTTCTTTCCACATAAGGGAAGCAGAAATTTTAACAAAAAGATACTAGTGGATCCAACGACAGGAATTTCAAAGATTTTTAGCAAAGATTTGAATCCATCATTCAATGGATCAACATTTCCGGAAGAGTTCATAATGAGAAGAACTCATTTGAAGAAGAAAGAGGAAGTTTATAATGAGAAGAACTTGTTCAACCTTTTGCTCAAATCCATCACTTGATGGATCAACATTTCCAGAAGTGTTCATAATGAGAAGAACTCATCTGAAGAAGGAAGAAGAAGTTCATAATGAGAAGAACTTGTTCAACCTTTTGCTCAAATTCATCACCCGATGGATCAGCGTTGCCAGAGAAAGTTCATAATGAGAAGGATTTATCTGAAGAAGAAGAAAAAGTTCATAATGAGAAGAGCTTGTTCAACCTTTTGCATAACTCTATCACAGAAGGAGATAAATCAACACCAACTTTTCTAGAGAAAGTTCATAATGAGAAGAACTTATCTGAAGAGGAAAAGAAAGTTCATAATGAGAAGAACTTGTTCAACCTTGCATTGATTCATCTCCTATGGAATTGAATGAAAGAAGAACCTCATTTGAGGATCAATATTTCCAGAAGTGTTCATAATGAGAAGAACTCATCTGAAGAAGGAAGAAGAAGTTCATAATGAGAAGAACTTGTTCAACCTTTTGCTCAAATTAATCACCCGATGGATCAACGTTACCAGAGAAAGTTCATAATGAGAAGAATTTATCTGAAGAAGAAGAAGAAGTTCATAATGAGAAGAGCTTGTTTAACCTTTTGCATAACTCTATCACAAAAGGAGATAGATCAACACCAACTTTTCCAGAGAAAGTTCATAATGAGAAGAAATTATCTGAAGAGGAAAAGAAAATTCATAATGAGAAGAACTTGTTCAACCTTGCATTGATTCATCTCCTATGAAATTGAATGAAAGTAGAACCTCATTTGAGGATCAATATTTTCAGAGGAAGTTCATAATGAGAAGAACTCATCTGAAGAATGAAGAAGAAGTTCATAATGAGAAAAACTTGTTCAACCTTTTGCTCAAATTCATCACCTGATGGATCAGCGTTGCCAGAGAAAGTTCATAATGAGAAGAACTCATATGAAAAAGAAGAAGAAGTTCATAATGAGAAGAATTTGTTCAACTTTTTGCTCAATTACATCATAGAAGAAGATAAATTATCATCCCCATTGGAAGAATGGAAGAGTTCATAATGAGAAGAACTAATCCAAACAAAGAAGAACTTGTTCAACATTTCCATTTTAATTAAGAGAAGTCAAATGAACAAAAATTTATTATCTTTTCGTCTTTGCCCTATTCTTGTTAACATAAGAATGAGCAAAGAGGGTCAGCTGTAGACACTAAATTTTTACCCGAGCAGCCCCCTCCATCCAGCAGCCCCTCCACGCATCATTTCCAACAGCTTCCAGCGAGCAGCCCCTCCACGCATCAGTTGCAGCAGCTTCCAGCACTGCCAGGTGATCTAACGCCCTGCTGCCACGCTGAAGCCTCCAGAAGCCAGCTGCCTTGTCCATGTTGCTACCCTATGGTGAGTCACCACCATAGTTCGGTGACTCACAGAGGGCCATTCCTTTAACCGGTCCGAAGAAGACACCGGCGAGGCCTATAAATGGCCATCTCCTACAGAGAAGAAAAGGAGCAGAGAGACAAACACAGAGGAGGATGGAGGAACAAAGGAGAACCATACCCAACACAGCAGAAAAAGGGGAAACAGACAACAACCACCCAATAACCAAATATCGAAAGAAAAGATAAGAGAGAAACTTACCGAGAAAACTGCAGTCATCAGAGCCTCCTCGCGCCGTCAGAAAGCTGAAAGTCAAAGGTAAAAAAAACCTTAGATCTAGGTCGATCTAAGGGTATTTAGGGCAAAAGGAGGCCGAATTTGGCCTTTAGGAGTTGAAATCCTTAATTTGGTGTAGTTTGGTAATCTTCAGCCACCGGAGACAGTGGCCGGCGGCGGTGATCGGCGCCGGAATGTGGCAGCCGGCCTTCCTCCGGTTGGAGAATTTAGAGAGAAGGCAGAAAATGAAACAAATGGCCCTCTTAGGCCGGTTAAAGGGTATTAATACCCTCATCAAAACGACACCGTTTTTATGAGGGATGATTGTGCAATTTCACACATGATAAAACCCTTTCCGCTACCCTTGTAACTTTGTAACATTACATTTTAGTCACTTTAATCAAGTCTCGAACCTTTTAATTTAGACTCTTAATTTTAATTAAATTATAATTTGGTCATATTGATGAAATATAAATATTTTAGGAAAAATAATAGATTTAGACCTTTAATTTTAATAATTAATATATTAATCCCGGATATTTTAATTTGATATTAGAATTTAATATAATTTTAATTTAGTCACTATATTAATAATAAGGTAAAATACCATATTTAGTCCTTTTAATTATTAATATATTTTATTTTGATCTTGAATTATTAATTATTATTAAATTACATTAAATATACATATATTTAATAATAATTTAAAATTACATTAGGATAAAGACGTTTACTGGTCTCTTATGACCATAATTTCCTTCTACCTAATGTAAAATAATATAATAAATTGTTTTTTAGTCTTTCTCCTTAATCAATGGCATCAATCATTGTGAAGAATCTCTATGTAAAATTTAATATTAAAAATCAAAATTTTCTTGTAACCGGTTGTAATAAAAAAGAAATATGAACATTTGTTACTATTATAAGTATGACAATATTTTTTTGATAAATTATATTTTAATGTGAATTATTATCTATAGTTAATTTACACTAATAATATCTAGATTTTATTATTTTTAATTTAATCATATAGTTTTAATTTTTTATCATTGTTTTATTTTATTTAATTTTATCATTATCTTTTTAATTTCAATATGTTTAAATTAGTACTTTAATTATTATTATTTTATTTTAGTCGTATATATATTTGATTAAATAATAATATTTGTTTATTTTAAATATTAAGAAATTGACAGTCTTAATGTAATTAGATGTCCTTTTTGATTTTTTTAATAAAATATTATATTTAATTCACTCTTAGTTAATCATATGTTTAGAAAAAAATTATTATATTCTTATTAATATTTATTTATTAATATTAAAGAAAAGAGCAGTCTTAAAACAACTAGATGCCCTTTTCTGATATTTATAAATAAATAAATATTTTATTTATAAAACCCTACAAATATTCATTTTTACTTTATAAAAATTATTTTTCTTAAAATTATAAATTTGAAATAATAAGATTATAAATTAACCATATTTTTGAATTTTTAAATATCTAATAATAGAGACAATTTATAATTAATAAGTACCAATTTTGGGCGTTGTGGGGGTACTAATCCTTCCCCAAACGTAATCGACCACGAATCCTGTTTTACTAAAATTTTTGGTTATACGCAGACCAATTTTATCTTTTAAATTATGTTTTATTCAAAACTATTTTAAAAGATTTTTTTAGGTATTTGACCTACCTAACCCCAAAAGGTCAATGGCGACTCCTAAAAACATTTTTTTTAAAATCAAAATTATTTTTATCCCCGCCAAGTAAAATTCGTGCCCGGACAAAAACCGGTTACGATAGATATCAACCAGTAGAGATGAGGCTATTAAGATTTGGAAATGAATAGCCTAATTTTTTTTTTACAGTTTGTGAGCATGTAGGTTTATATGAGATTCGTCTTTATTATTATTAATGCAATGCCTTACTTATCAATGATAAAGGGGAAATACCATTCTCTTATTCTTGCTTCTATGTGCGAAGTTCATTGATATTAAAATTGAATCCTTTTGATTTCCAATTTGCATGAAATGAGGATTTTTAGATGACCAGAAAAATGAACGCAGAAAAGTATGAATGAGAACGTGATAATGCAGCACACGCCACTTTTCCAAAGATGATGGGCTAACTTCCACATGTCCCATTTACAAGAAGCTGGGCCAAACTCTTAAAAGAAAAACATCAGACTCCAGTATAGGCTTGCTTTCATCAACAAAGGAATCCAAGCCCACATAGAGACAGATTAATTTAAGGAGGGAAACTTAACTATCTTTTCTTTCAATAATAATACAACATGAGTACATTTTTGCAAAAGTTGATTGTCTTGTGCCTTTGAAGCATTATTTCCTTTAAGTTCTTCCAAGTTCTTTAGAGAGAGATATTCACAGTCTGGTTCGCCTTTTCATTGCGATTAGAAGGGCTGGTTAGAGTCGTATTGCCGAGTTTACCTTTTCATTGCGATTAGAAGGGCTGGTTAGAGTCATATTGTCGAGTTTACCTTTTCATTGCGATTAGAAGGGCTGATTAGAGTCGTATTGCCAAGTTTACATTTTCATTGCGACTAGGAGGGTTTGGTAAGGCATATGCATCTATATTCCATCTCCATAAGCCATCATTTTCTTCCTCTATCATCACGCCAACATCATTCCCAAAACCCTAAGATTTGCGCTAAGCGCATACCTACTAGGGGTAAATTTTTAAATCTCTTTTTATGAAGATACAACCGTCAAAATTATGTTCCGTCTTCTTCGTTGCAATCCTTATCTCGTCATCGTTCCAATGAGTATTTATCCATCCAAATCCATTCACAGCAACCCTTGCCGCCCATTATAAGGGAACAACAAAAACAACAAAACCCTATTCCCATATGCAATGGGGTAAGGGGGAAGTAGGGTAGTAGGCTACCCCCAACGCCAGGTTGAGAGCAGCTTTCGTGGAAGACCTCCGGCAATTAGAAAATAAAAATAAAGATAAAATACAATGATTCTTCTTTCCTTTTTGTCCTTATTTTAATAGAATTGTCTTAACAAATTCTTCTTTTCTTAATCTCAATAAATAAAAACCCTAATCCAATTACCTTGTTACCGCCCACATCATTCATTCATCCTCTCATTCTTTAATCCAATCTAGAGCTTTCTAGGTTTGATTCATCAATGAAAAGAAACGATGATCTTCCGCTTCAAATTCTCTATCAATTGGTATCAGATTTGTAATGATTCTTGGAGAGAATCAAACAAGTTTTATTGTTCTTGCAAGCATACAACGCCAAGGTACCCCAACGGAGCTAATTGAGACAAGTTCATCATTTTCAGGTTATTTTTAATTTTTTTTTAGTTTAGTTTCAATTAATTATGTTAGTTTTCTGTTTTTCATAAAAAAGTAAAGAAACAAATCAAAAAATCAAAAAAGAAAAGAAAAATGCACAAAAAAGAGAAACAAAATAAAAAAACCAGATAATACAAACGAAGGAATTTGTAAATGATTTTTTACAGGTGCTTTCCTCATCATAAGAGAAATATTGAATTCAAATTTCAGATCAATCGAACTTCATTTGACCCTCTGATCCATCGTTCAAGATTGAGAGATAGATTTGAGCGATGGTTTTTGTTGAAAATTTTCTAGAAATAATTTGGTTATGAAATTATCCAGATCTAACCTACACTCATTGGATAACATCTACAAAATAGTTTAGAATTGTTGGAGATCGGCAACCTCATCAAAGACGTTTCTCAAGTAGATTTAGCCAATCAGGGTTTTTTCGTGATTAGTTTTTCCAAACTTTTCTTTGACTCTTATTGCAATAGTTCTTTTGTTTTACCTTTTTATTGTTCTTCTGCATCATCTAACACATTCTCTTCCTTGTTTTACACTTCAACAAATTTGTTTATTTGCGGTTTCTAAAATATTGACATTGAAATTTACATTTACGTCACTATTTGTATTTTGTGACGTAAAAGTTGATGTCACGACGAACGTCACACTAGGTGTGTCACTAAATGTTAATGTGATGATGTGTATGTTTTCGTCACTTACTGCTAAACATATTATGACGTTAATGCATAACATCACATTATAATTTGTATGTAGTAACAATTAATTATGTCATCAAATAATATAAAAAATTGTCACTAATTGTTTATATCATCATCAATAATATAATATTTTTTGTATTAATGACGGAAAATATATTGTCATAATTTCTTTATTAGATTATAAAAAATATAAAATTATAATAAAAAAAGTAGTTATAATTTACAATAAAGGACACAACTTTTTGGAATTTACAATAAAATACAAAACTTTTTGGAATTTACAATAAAGTACAAAACTTTTTGGAATTTACAATAAAGTAAAAAATATTTTATAAATTACAATAAAATACAATACTTTATAGAAATTACAATAATGACATTTCTTACAAATAAACCATGATTTTTTTTTGTTTTCTTCTTCCTTACCTTTCCCTTAGCAACTTTTCTTTCTATCTCTTCTTCTGGAGGAAGTTCTTCGATTAGTGGTGGAACCCATGGGAGCAGTCAACACCTAGTTTTATCTTTCGCTTCCTTGCCACCTCTTTGTTACAGAATTTGACCTTTCAGCAGTTGCAAAGAAAAAATAGAAGAAGAAAATTAAGTCAATATCTGAAATAATCGAACTTCTAAGGCATAATCAGGTGCTATATAACAATGTTTCATCTTCAAGTCATCGACCTTTTCCCACCCTATTATAAGAATTTTAAAAAACATTAGAAAATGCCTATATAAACATGTCATGATTCTGACAATCTACGGATTTATAATCAAATGTGATGAGGATACTTAAGGAAAATAAGTTGCTTCAAACAGTCAATAACATGGAATCTACTAATGTTAGTTCGATGGCATCCTTTGTAAATTTGCTCTCCATTAACAAATTGTGTTCAAACAAATTACATTATAATTTGAACTTCAATGCACTTGCTTCATGTTAGTCAAATCTAATATATGAAAATCTAAAAAATAATATAACATATACCCTAGCAGCTCCAACGCTGCTAGGAATGATATTGAAGGAAGCAGCTCTACCGACTCTCTTGTCCTTCGTTTATGGCCCATCAACAATATTTTATGTATCTGAATTAATACAATAGAAACATCAGTCAATAATACACAAATGGTTGCAACAAGAAGTACCATAACAGCTCAAGTACTAACCAATAATAGAGTGGACAATGGTCATAAGACCCTCAACAAATGGTTTCAAGAAGTATCATTAAAGGAAAAAAATTCAGATGAATAATGCAGTAACTCATCAAAGGATCTGTGTTTCTCCAAAGGCTTATTCACTTCAATATTCTTATAATATATACCATCCTCCAAAGTCTATTACACCAAAATAAATGTATATTAGAATAAAAATTAAAAAAAGAGGATAAACTGAGAGCAGGGTTGCAGGGTTTCAAGGAACCAAACACAAATGGCGAAACTCAAGCAGTACATATGTCTAAAGCTTACAAACATATAACCTAATATTATCCTATTTTTTATTTCCACTATAGCTTGCCGCATGTTTCCATGTCTTTTCCTTACTGGTTTCGAAATAATGAATCTCCTAAGAATCCACATTTCTTTAAACCTCATCTTATACAGATATATTATTATTAAAAGGCGCGAACGTAATTATTATACTTTCTTAAGAAATCACATAAATTCGAGACCCCCAATAAAATAAATTTTAAATTTTTCATAGGTTAACCCATATCTTACTTATTACTATTTAAAATAATAATATATTTTCCTTTAGCATTCGAAAACCATGGAAGGAATTGGACCTTGAAGATTTCATAACTCTAACAACCATTTGATAATCAATAAAGGGTCGGAAGAGATGGGCAGATCCTTACTAGTCAAAAACGAAGGCACAAAAAAAAAAAAAAATAGAGAGACAACGATAAGCGGTGGTAGCATTCGATCCCAACGGTGATGCCTCAAGTGACCACATACGATCATACAAATCAGCGGCGGCGCGATGGTAGCAGATAACCCAGGCAAAGGCGCTAGCTTCTAAAACCTAAGGATTGTTTTTACCTTTTGCAAACTCACGCTGCAACTAAAGAATATTACTTTTTTTTTTTTTTAAATTTGAGAGATGGTAATCGGCTGCAAGCTTTAGGCTTTACTTCCAAATATCCTTAAAGTTTATTTTTATTAGCATTAAATTACATATACATATAAATATATTAGAAAACTCTTTTAAAAATAATTCTTTTAATTCACCAGGTTAAACGTCACTTATACATACGTACGTGTGTGTATATATATATATATTTATATATAATTCACATGCCAATTAAAAATCATTTTTTAATACGTAAAATTTTTAATTTTACATTAGGTGTAAGTGGATCCTAATCATATTAAAAACTTAGTTTTTTTTTAAATATATGTCAAAAGATAAAAATTAAAGTTCGGTCCTTGAATAATTTATAGCGTTTTTAGTCAATTAATTTAGTCATTGATGAATCAAATTAGTCAAAATTAAATTGATCAAACTTCTTTTTCTTTAACCATTAATCGAATTGAATTTTTAAAAATTATTAAATGAGCTGAACAAAGTTTGATCAATTTTTGAATTAACAAAATTTTATTATAATTTTTTAGATAGATTAATTTGAATTTAAATAATTTTTTACCATATGGATTATAGTTTGATTGGATCTTGAAAGTTTAATGTGTATATTGTTGTTAAAAAAATAATTGGATCTTGATTCTTATTAGGTTTGTGCTTAGTATATATATATATATTGGTTAATTAATCAGTTTCAAATTGAATTAATAGTTAATTAAATTTAAAAAAAAAATCTTAATCATTAACCTATCCAACATTTAATTACTCGACCAACTAACCAAATTCAATTTCAATTCGACCGATTAATTCAGTTAAAACCTAACAATGTCCACCCCTAACAGTCTATAATTCACATTAATTACTTGGAATTTCTAAAAGTTACAGATTGACCATTGAAACTTTATATATTTTTCAATTTAATCAAAATTTCATAATTAATATATTGAACATTAAATTTAAACCCCTTTTAATCTTGATTTTGGGGCTCGACTTATATAATTATCTTATTAGTACTCAACTTATATAAGTATCTTATATGTATTAAACAAAAAATGTCTTCAATATATATATATATATATAAAAGTTTGAAAAATTCAAAAAATTATATAAAAAAATCACTAATAAGATTTTGAATTAGCGGCATATCTAAGATGTCACTAAAAGTTTTTTTCTCAAAATTTTTAAAATTGTCATATAAAAATAAGATTGTGACAGATAATTGCCTTCATCACGTTAAACTTATTTTTCGCTTGAATAAAATGTCATCTTTTATATCTTACATAATGTGACAAATCAAATTGTTACAAAGAAAACTTATTAGTGACAAATCTATAATGTTACTAATTCAAATCATTTCGTCATAATAATAAATCGTCACTCATACTTCCATTTTATTAGAGACGATTTTAAGGTGTTGCCATTTAATCTAAATGTCGTTGAAAGATTTCCCACCAATATTTTGAGGTAAATTTTGCCTCCAAGCGTATAGTGACGAAGATCAATGACCATTTTT